GATCAATCAATTTAAGAAGAAATATTATCCAAAGTAAATTAATCATGGACATCTGTACAACTTTGACAAGGAACAAGAAAGTCATTGTTGCGAAAAGTTGATCGACCAAACACAAAATATTATGCTCGAAATTATGTTTGTCAAGGACAAAGATTTGTTTAAAAAAGACAACAATGTTTCAAGCTGAGATGTAAATACTGATAAATACATTGTTGATCTCAGTCTATTGACCATTAAATAAGATTAGCTTTGTGAGTTGTTGTCTTGTTGTTGGCTTCCCACTTCCTGTAGCCGTGTTGAAACGTTTGCCATGCGTGTAAAGCTGCAATCTAAGGTATCTTTTGGCAATTATCTTTATAAGGTTTGCTCTGTGATCACCAGTATGCATACTCTCGTTTAATCCGTCTTCATGATCAATAAATATTTTCTGGGTACTTTCCCGTGAAAAGTGATTAAAAACGATCAAAACCAGTTTTCGTTTCAGCTTGATTTCAGTTGTCTTTTGGTAATCGGTTTTTGCCACTCGTTCTTTAAAAAGTTTCTCTGAGTACTGGATTACATTGTACACAGATTGAAAAGGGATTTGTAAGCCATCATAATTGCTAAATAGTGTAAATGCAGAAGCAGACACCATGCTGTTGTAGTTCATAGCACAATAGTCATGGTCTGTGGTGGGTGCAGCAAAGTGAGAAATAAGACAAGTCTTACAAGACGAACAGCCGATTTTGTCAATGACTTTTGAAACTATGTAGCCTCCTATGTAGAAGAGGATATTGGAGACAAATTCTGTGGTTGATGGGCTGTCCATTTGATGACTGAGCAGTTCTTCTGGTGTTGGATCGGGGTCCTTTGTGGCAATTGTGGTGTTGGATTCATGAAGGGGGCTTTGTGCTTTCTCATATGAAAATATGGTATAATTGCTGTTGAAGTTTCATCCAGTCCTTAACAATTGGCATTTTTGGAAGAGGTCACTGCATTTAGCATTAGCATTTTCTGTAATGCATACTAGAGTTGGAGGCAATTAGGATTATTGTTCCATCCACCCATTGATCTTATGAAAGAGAAAAGCAGTTCTAAGTGGTCTTGGGAGAATTTATATGTCAACAAGTATTTAAATGGATGGGTTGAAGAGAACATTTCCTTTGTCATTTCAATGGTTGATTTAATTGCTGCTACAAATCCAACAGTGAAGGATTTCCTTTTGTGATGTACCGATGGAGCTTGATTATTGTTTTGCTTCAAGCTAAGCAGGTAAAGTGCTGAGTCTGTAAGGATTGGTTCCCACATTTGTCTCGATTCTGGGCGCAGTGCTTGTTTAAAACCTGTTGCTACTGGATTTTGTGAGTTAATAAGTCGAACAGTCTATCAATTGTTCCTATGAATTTCACAGTTGGTTCTGCATCCTGAAATTCTTCAAGTTTCATTGATGAACAAAGGAAGTCTACGGCGTCTGCCACCGAGGAACTAAATGTCTGTGCTGCTAGTAAGTAAGTAAGTAAGTAAGCGACTTTATTAGGGTAAACGCTTGAAAGTAACATTAAAGTCTCAGATAAACTAGTGGCCCTCTATCTATAAGATTACTTAAAATATATAGTATGATTATATACACTAATACATATTGATGAATTATATATACACTATAAAAACCTACAAAGTATATCTATATACGGTTTAAGAGCAAATACATATTAAACAGACATTAAATATTATATATCACTGATAAATAGATTAGTTTCCTTCTGCTTTGTTAAAATATCTTTGCCAGTGAAACATTCGTTTTGTTCTTTTGAAATTGTAAATGCCTGCTACTAAACTTGTTTCCCAGTTTAAGTCCTTCAGCTTGTTGAATTGTATGAAGTGAAGAAAGGAGATTCCAACTGATTAAATTATTTTCACCGTCTTTGAAGAATTTTAGGTCTGCCAAAGCATTTCTTGCTAGTTTTAACATGTGTGATGGGTCAAGTATTGCATAGACAAAATAGTTTCGAGTGGGATGTTTGAACTTTGTTACAAATGAATCATAACATGATGTAAAATTGCATCCTAACTCTTTGAACATACTGATGTTCACTGATGTTTCATCGGCTGTTACTGACCAAACACGTAAACCAGAATCTGCTGCCATCTCCAAAGCTGTTTTTGCTAGGTTTGCTTGCTCTGTGGCTGATATTTTATCAGCAAGAAAATAGCCAATAGGGCACTTCCAATGAGATCTGGCTCCAACTAATAGAAAGATAACTGATTCAGATGCCAAAGTAGCTGGTTTTGTTGATGGAATTTGTCCATAATCCACAAATCCGACATATTTATCTTGCTTGTTATCCCATAGCATCTGTTTTCTTATTGATAAAGCATCAATGACAAAGAAGCAATCTGCATAATCTGGCTTTGTGGAACATTCTCTTTTTATTTCCTAAAAAGATTCAGGCAAAAAACCTGGCTTGTATTCAATTGAACTTGACCATTTCCTAATGAAGGAAGGCTGTGGTAGTGGAATAATTGATCGGACATATTGATAGGCCTTTGCTGAATAAAAGTTCAGTGTGGTTGCAAATTCTTTTACAAGGTCAGAGTACCGTCTTCCACATGGGGCCCTTTCCACATTGTTTCTTGTGTCTCTGAATAGTGATAGTTGTAGGGAATGAAACTGACCATGAAAGAAATTAGCATCTTGGAAAAAGCTTTTTCTTCTTAATTGTTGCTGCAAATATCTAATTTTTCTCTTCAATTTTTTTTCTAGGTCTGGCCTTTCAGGAATTTTATGGATCGTTTTATCAATATCATTGACAGACTTACAATAATTATGGTCATGTGATATTTTTTCTTCAGTCGACATGATTGTTAATGGTTGCAAGATCACATGGACTCTCCAGCCTTTTTCGGACATTTAATTGAATGCCATGTGCATCTGAGGATGGACTGGGAAAAATCGATGGTATAGCATTATGTTTTATTCTGCAAGCCATTGTCTGATGGTTGGATGATGAAATCGGATGAACGGAAATTGGTACTGCAAATCCGACTGGATTTTGTTGCTGTCCATAGTAGGCATTTGTTTGGTACAATTATAGAATACCGTGGCATAAGAAACAGCATATAAATATAATTGGCTATGTGGATACGGGGCTACATGTAATTACACAAAGTAGTTTCAATAAGTACTATTAATACCGATATCGTTTAATATGCATATTATTGTTTATGAAATTTCAGACAAGATAGTTATTCCAGCGAAATTGTTTGCATCATTTCATAGGTTGAGTTACATTTATTTGGTAGTTGTAGGATTGTATAGTTTCTTCACGTCTTGGAGAAAGGTTAGGAAGCAGTCGTCATTGTGATGCTTATATTTCCACATAAACTCTGCGAAGTATGACACATAATGGTCTTTCTTTCGCCCATGTGTAGGTAGGTTGGATTTTAATTGACGCCAATGCCCTTCTATTATTGTTGGTCACCTTCATATTAACGAATTTTGTGAGTGATTGACTGTTTTGTGTATGTATCCATAATTCTCGAGATTTATATAGCCTTTCAGCAATCGGATTATAGTTGTTCCTGCAATATCCAAGTTTGTGCGAGGCCGCAATGTTGTCTCGGATCTATCATCTACTGGTACGATGAAGGAATTTCTTGATTGCTCCTCTATGCCTCCGAAAACCCATTGGCCTTTGACTAAATGGCCTCGATGATACTTCCTCTTGCCGACTTTTGTTTCATCTATTTGAATTCTTTTACCGATACCCAATTTGATGTTTCTTTTTGATAATTGTCAAACAAACTTTGCGGCAAAACATTGACCAGTCGACTGCAGTGTTTGGACGTATTTTTAGCTGTTGAATTATTTGTTTTTGAGTAAGATTTGCGCACCACCAATATGTGAATTTAACAACTTCAATTAAAGTCATATTACTGTTTTCAAACCAAGAATCTTTACGAATGCTTTGCTCCGTTGTTTGGTGTTTGCTGTGTGATCTTTGTCTGCACTGCCATTTCAACCCATCCGAGAGATCTTGGCAAGATACGAGATTCATTTCCGTTTCACACTTAGGGCAAACAACTCTAGATGCAATGAGACCTATTTCTTGCCCAGCGTATTGTTTGATCAGTTGATCCAATTATTTTTGAACAAGGTCGTCATAAGTCAGAAATTCAACTTGTTTCCTTTATTGTAACTCTGGCCGTCATTAGACGATATTTGTACAGCCTTATCTATTAAGTTCGTGGGATTTGTTAGAGCTTGTGTACCAATGGTACATGTTCTTCTGACGGTATACATAGGTGAATGTATTATTGAAAAAGTCGCTGCACTGAAATATTTATTTGCAAATCTGGCGTATGTAAATAATGAAATGGTTGCTATGGATATGACAATATGACATGTGAATTGAATTGAAAAAAAGTAATTCCCAGGTTATCGAGTACTTATTTGTTTTAGAATTTAGAAATTGCTGTAGGGATATAAAAGGTATGTATTGTTTCTGTAAAGTAGAGATTTGGTTTAGATTTTGTAATTAGGTTATAACATTAGTTTACCCTCTAATGAAATCAAGCTTTTGTTCAAGTTTAAGCCGGATGTAAAGCAAAACGCTCAATTTGAATTACTTAACCGCTAATTACTATATTTCATTTAATTTTCCCACTATAAAGTCTATATGTATGATTTAAAGCTATTAAGACAGGAATAAATGCATGGTCCATTTTACCGTAGTATGCAGTAATATGCAAATCAGTGTATACAGTCGAACCTGTGTTAAGCGGTCACCCTCGGGGATTTTGCAAGTGACCGCTGAATACAGGTTGACCACTTAATACAGGTCTTGTAGAAATCACCGCGCAGCTTAATATAATATTTATTATAACTAAATTTGGAATCAACAGTAATACATTTCATTACACATACCAAGTAACCAATTAAAAAGTATATAAAACTTTAAATTGTTTCTGAGTTTAGTCTACAAATTAGAGACTACTTGTACTGTACAATAAAAATGTCAAGCTTAAACCGCTGAAAAATAGTCATGAATTTTTGTTTGTTGTTGCGGACTGCTCAGTTTAATTTGACTCAACAAGTCATCCACCCTTGACATAGCAAGCGAAAGCTCTTGGTGCTCGTTAAATTGAGCAAATTTTCGCAATTCATCACCGAATTCCATCGCTTCTCGCACTGTTTTAATTGATGACTGTGCACTTTCCATGCCACACTCTGCATCCTGTTGTCCCATTGGTAGTTCTTTGTCTTCTAAGATTGACAATTCGTCCTCTATGTCGTGATGAAGCAGTTCGTCACGCAGATCATTCCTCCAGTTTGGATTGGAGCTGTCAAACTTCAATGTCCTCTTCCGCTGCAATAAATTCACTTGCAGTTAGCTGTACGTTGAATCTGTTGATAAGATTTTGCAGATCATACAGCTCTTCACCTTCAAATGGATCGTCTTCTACAACTGAGTCTAGTGGATATATCCCTGTGCTCTGAAAGCACTTTTTGATGGTGCTGTTGGAAACCTCGTCCCATGCTTGTCTCCCCCATTCAATGGACATGAGAACATTAATCGACTTAACAATTTCTGATGCATTAATCGATCCATCTGCTCTGGAGCATACATATCGGAGGAGTCACTTTTTGTACTTTACCTTCCAGTTTGCGATTATCCCAGCGTCCAAAGGTTGCGTCTTGGATGTTGTATTTTTCGGCAAAAATACAATTTTGATGTTGGGAAACTTCCCTTCAAGACATGGAGGATGACATGGGGCGTTATCCATAAACAAAATAATGTTTCTCTTCTCCCTGATCAAGCGTTTGTTCAACTTCGATAGAACAGAGTTCATTATTTCAGAGTTCATTCAAGCTTTCTGGTTTGAGAAATAGTGGCACTTATACGGACGTTTGACATCTTTCAGTTTCTTGAAACACCTAGGCTTTGCAGACTTTCCAATCACAATAGGGTCCTCCTTTTCCCCAGCAGCATTCACAAAAAAAGCCCACGTATTCCGTTGTTTTGCTTTTTTCCCACCGCTGCAACGCTTTCCCTTTTCATTCAGGGTTTTCTCAGGTAATCCCCGCCAAAAGGCTCAACAGTTTCCGTTCTAACGTCAGCTTCTTCTCCGGCCACTGACATATTGCAAATCCCATGCTGTTTCTTGAATGACTCTAACCAGCTGTTCGACACAGAAAACCTAATTTTTCAGCAATTAGGAGAGCTTCTTCTTGAAGCATCGGTCCCGAAATAGGTATGTTCGAGTTTCTGCACATCAAATACCAGTCCCATAACGCTTCGTTCACATTGATGTACTTTCCGACACGGATTCTTTTTTATTGAACTGGACTGACGTTGTTTATACGAGGCGATTATAGCATCTTTATTTTGAATAATTTTTTGTGCTTGCGTTCTGCCTATTTCAAAGTGCTCGGCTATTTTTCTGTATCCACTGCCCGGATTGTCCTTCGAATAGCGAACCACTTCCATTCTTTGTTGAAGGGTTAAACACTTGCGCTTTTTCTGTGCCTGCGGTTTTAATGCTTGGGACTTATGTTTCATAGTTGTGTCGGGTTTCAAGTCTACATTTTCTTTTCGTTTGCTGCCGACAACTCCTCTACTTTCTTCACTAAGGTATACATATGCCAACTGCTACACCAGCATTCCATCCCGGTAATTCTTCGGATGCAGCAATCGAACAGTTAGTTGAGCGATTGCAGGTCGGTTTTTGACAAAGTAAGCATTGATATTTTGTTTCTCCCGAGCAACTTTGACAAAGCGCCATAGCGGTGCTTATGACATCGTCAGAAAAACATTTTATCAAGCCAGATTGTGTCTGGCCAAACATGAACTAAGGAAGTGCAGTGAAGTTTGACACGCAATTTTGGCAATCTACCAGCTCATTCATTTTTACCAAAACTGTACCGACATTATTATTATTATTATAACAGTATTTACCCAGTGAGCCTACATCGCCAAAGCGGTTTTCAGTAGGGCCCTGCTAAAATACAATTATTATATTACATCTATTAAAACTAGTTAAAAAGTTAAAAAGTGCAAATAGTAAAACGTTCATAACCTAGATTTAAAAAGTTGTAAGCTCTGACAGTCTCTTATGCTCTCAGGTAAAGTGTTCCACTCACATGCAGCCTGGTAAACAAACCTTTGTTTACCCCAATTAGTTTTTACCTTCGATAAATATATATTATTTCTAGATCTGGTAAAATGACTATGAATATTATTATTCATTACAAAGTCAACAGGAAAGTTGCTCTCACTCTTTAAACACTTAAACATCGCAGTAAGACGGTGGGACTTTCTACGTTCTAATAAGGGTTGTAGATTAAGGAGAGTAAGTGCCTCGGTTGCTGAACTATACTTTGGCTTATCCAAGATTATCTTTGCTGCTCTGTTCTGTAGAATTTGTAGGGCTTTCATTAGAGTGTCATTGTTTTTGTCTCCCCAGACAGTATCAGCATAATCGAATAACGGAGCTATCAAACTCATATACAAGGTTCTCCTCGCATAGACGGGTAAAAGGGTCTTTATTCTTCGTATTAAACCGATTCTTTGATTTATCTTTTTACTAATTTCATCAATATGATCAGCCCACTTCATATGTTGGTGAATTGTAATGCCAAGATATTTGAATGACTCAACCCTTTCCAGTTGATTTTCTCCGACATAAACTGTAATTTTGTGAACATCCCGGAACTTACTGGAACGGTTACTTCCAAACATCATAAATTTAGATTTCGCGACATTTAGAGTTAAGAGGTTAGAATTGAACCAACATGCTAACTTGATAAGATCTTCATTAACCTTATCTTGGATCTCTTTCACGGAATTTCCACTATAATAAATTACAGTGTCATCAGCATATATCATCACATCACAGTTACTCAAGGATGTTGGAAGATCGTTTATGTACAGGATAAACAAGAGAGGGCCAAGAATGCTTCCTTGGGGGACTCCAACAGAAATTTCACAGCCCGCAGATTGGGCATTGCCGACAAACGTTCTCATCTGACGATTCTCTAGGTAGGATCGAAACCACTCAATAGCATGTACATTCACACCAATTGCCTCGAGTTTTTTTATCAATAGACCATGATCGACCGTGTCGAACGCCTTCGACAAGTCAAGGAAAGCTGCACCAGTCATACAGCCATTATCAAGATTATGCAAAATAGTATCAGTGAAATGTGTAAGGGCTGACACGGTAGATAATTTTGGGCGAAAACCAAATTGTTTGGATGTTAAAATGTTGTGATCCACCATATAATCATAAAGCTGTCGATGAACTGCACGCTCCAAGATCTTGCTCATTGTTGGTAATATAGTAATTGGTCGATAATTATTACAGGCCATGCTGTCTCCTGACTTAAATAAGGCTACGACTTTTCCACTTTTCCATATTGCAGGATAAGATGCATTCTCAAGTGATCGATTATATAAAGTCGTTAGACTTTTATAAATTACAGTTGCAGAATCTTTCAGCAACCGCGCGCTTATACCATCAAGACCAATCGCCTTATTAGTCTTTAGTCGTTTCAGTTCCATCAAGACAAATTCTTTTGGTACGGGCATAAAAGTAAAAGTACTGTTTGAGTCATCAGCAGTAACAGTCGAACTTGATGGTAATAATATGATTAGGCTTTCCTTAAACTTCTGAGCTAACATAGAAGCTACGGATGAAAAGTGCTGATTCAGAATGTTAGCTATAGACTTTGGATCGGAATAAATTATACCATCGCTTTCAATGCAGGAAACAGATTCACATTTCTTACGACATGTAACTTCGTTTAGTGTTTTCCATAAAGCACTGTGGTTTTGTTTATTTTCATCAATTAGCCTTGTATAATACTCAGCTTTGCATCTCTTGACCTCTGAATTAACAAAATTTCTTAAGTCCTTGTACAATGTCCAGTGTCTTTGCAAGTTAGATTTCTTCGCCATTTTACGATAAAAATCACGTTTGCGCATAGCATCCATCAACTCTGTTGTTAGCCAAGGAAGTTTGGAGCCTTTTATTCGAGTTGTTTTGATAGGCGCGTGTTTATTAGCTATCGACAGAAACAAATTATTCCAGGCCAAGACAGCCAAATCAACAGTTGGCTCATCATCAACAACACTCCAATCAGCACTACGCAAATCCTGAATAAAATTTCGTTTTTGATAGCGCTTATAGGAACGAAACTCAATAGTTTTTCCTGGGGCTTTAATAACACAGGCCTTAACAACACAAAAAACCATTGAATGATCGCTTAATGAGGGATCAACAATACCATGGTCAATGATGCGATGCGGAAAATTTGTGAATATTAAATCGAGCACGGTTGAAGATTTTTCCGTAACACGCGTGGGTTGATCAATTATCTGTTCCAAGCCATGACCGTTTGCTAAGTTTTTCAATTTACGTTTTAATGCCTTGTCCACAGCAGACTTTGCATTCCACGAGATATTAAAATCACCCAAAACCAATAATTCATCTTTGTCCGCGACATTCAGGAGAAGCTCGTTTAACTCATTAACAAACTGTTCGACTTTGCCGTTTGGGGGGCGATAAATAGACCAAACAATAACCTTCTTAGCTTTAGGACGTAAGATTTCAATAGAGCAAAGTTCAGCTGAAGCAAGACTAAGCTCGACAACAAAGCGAAACGGAATACCCTCCCGAACATAGATCAAACTTCCTCCCCCAACCTTGCCCAACCTATCTTTTCTAACACAGGAATAACCATCAATAGATACTTCACTGTCCAAAATAGAAGGCTTCAACCAGCTTTCTGATACTGTTAAGATGTCAATAGGTTTTTTAGCAAGAAGCAACTTTAGAGAGTCCAATTTCGCCATTATACTTCTGACATTAATATGGGCAATTTTCAAGCCACGAGCACGAGTAAGGTTCCCCAGACTTGGGCATGAGACATCAGGTCCAGGGTTCATCTCGACATCATTCGCCAAATAGATAAGACAAAAAGCAATAGCAGACCTGCGAAATAAACAACAGGTTGCCATAAAAACTTCACGCGAAGGCGTCTCCACAACGCTCATGTGACATCGCTTCTCAAAACTTCCAATGGATATTTCGATTTGCTCACGAATGGTGTTATTTGCCGCACATAAAAAATCAATATCTTGAAACTTGGCATTAAACTGATCGTCTTTGACGTTAAGCTGACCGCCAAAGATCAACCATAAAAGAAGAATAAGACAAATATGACTGCTATAATTTAACCACGTTGTGATGTTAATTAGGTATAATTAGATATGCAGGTATAGGTATAATTAGATATGCAATCTTGGATGTATATAAATAAGAGGCATTTATAATACAACTAGTCAGTGTTTGAATCCGTGTGCATCTGTGTCTTGTTCAAATGGCTAGACACTACATTTGGCGACGAGGATTTTGTTTAAAGCCTGAAGTATAAATATATTTGATTATTATGGCGAAAAGCCTAGGAGTAAGTGGAGTGATGCCGTTTGATTGTACTGGCGATATGACGAGTGTAGGACCAAGATGGCGGCGGTGGAAAACAGCATTTCAGTTCTATATTGATGGCAAAGGAATTACTGATCCGAGGCAAAAGAAAGCTTTGTTACTCCATTCAGCAGGAATGGATGTTCAAGAAGTATATTCAACTTTAGAAGAACCGGCTAGTGGGAGTAAAGACGAAACAGATGAGTATGAAAAAACTATGAAAACTCTAGACTCTCATTTTACACCTCAGATCAATGTGCCGTTTGAGCGACATGAATTTCGACAAATGTTCCAAGGGGAATCTGAGACAGTCGATCAATTTGTTATTCGATTGACCCGCCAAAGTGATAATTGTGAATTTGGAGAGTACAAGAAAGAACATATTCGAGATCAGGTCATTGACAAATGTAGATCAACTAAACTTAGAAGGAAGTTGTTAGAAATGGGCAAGACTTTAACATTAGATGATATACAGACAGTTGCAAGGTCGATGGAAGCAAGTGAAATGCAAGCTAGACGAATGGAGAGTGATCGGCGTGGGGAAGTTAACACTATTGGGAGCAGAGGATGGAAAGGGAAAAAGGGCGAGAATATTAACAATAGTAAGCAAGGTCAAAAGTGTTACCGATGTGGTAGAAATGGACATTTTGCTCGAGATAAAAACTGCCCAGCTGTGGGTAAAGCCTGTAAGAAGTGCAACAAAATAGGACATTTTGCTGTTGTTTGTAGGACACAGTCCAACCGAGGAAATGGGCAGCAGAGCAAGCATCCTGGTGTCAAACAAATTTTGACGGCGGCGAAAAGTAAAATTAATGATCAGATCAACGATGATGATGAATATGCTTTTGCAGTGGGGACAAAAGATAAACGTAAGGTGAATGGAAGTGTTTTTATTACCATTAGAAGTTGTGGATAAAAGTGGAAACGAAGTAGTAGTTAAATCTTCAACAGGAGTTCAGTATAGAAGGAATGTAACTCATGTGAAGAAATTTGAAGTGGAATCATCTGACGTAGAAGAGGATGTGCAAAATCAAGAAAATGTACAGGAACAGGAAGCTGAGGAAGAAACAGAGAGAAGGTCTCAAGAGAACAGTAAGGAAAGTAGTGTAAATATTTCTAATAGACCTAATAGACCTCAGAGGGTATGTCGTGCACCTGAACGGTTTAAGGATTACGTATGTTCATATGTTAGTTATAGTTCTGGATAGTTCGATATTAGTTATGATATTGGTTGTATAAATTAGATAAGTAATGCATGAAGTCAGTGCGATAATTCAATTTAGGTACTTAAGCATATTAAAAAGTGACATGTAGGTATGTAGATAAACTTTTGGAAAAAACCGTTGGAAAAAAAAACAGTATATTATTTATTAGCTTTATTACGTAAATATGGACAATTAGAATACTGAGAAAAGAAGGGATTGTGATGTTAATTAGGTATAATTAGATATGCAGGTATAGGTATAATTAGATATGCAATCTTGGATGTATATAAATAAGAGGCATTTATAATACAACTAGTCAGTGTTTGAATCCGTGTGCATCTGTGTCTTGTTCAAATGGCTAGACACTACACACGTCGCCATATTTAATCGATGAGCAATCTATATTGCTCATCGATTAAATATGGCGACGTGGTTAAATTGACATTCTGGTTATAAACATGCATGCTGCAGAATCTGAGACTAAAGTAAATTACGCCACAAATTACACAAAACGGAATAGAGCAACACTTCGAGTTAGTTCATTTATCCAGGGATATCATGCGTACATGGACAACTGGGAACCAAAACTCAATGAGGAATATCCACTTAAACGTGAACCAGACAACAAGAAAGATGAAAACGCTGTTGCAATCGTAAGAAAAAAAGGAGTTAATAATACCGCAGACCTAGAGGATACTATTTCTCAAGTTGATGTACTTGGACATGCCCCGAAACTTATGGCACTATGGCTGACAAAGTTTTTAAAACGGCAGACAAACTCTGGCAAAGTAATCATCAAAGGAAAGCGTGTCAACAGAGGAGGTGGTTATGGCTTGAAAATTCCGTGCGAGTATCACTTTCATGGAGATACATTTTCGTGTCAGTGGCTGAAAGGAAAGTTGACACAAGAAAAATTTAAATTGCTTGAATAATACGTTCACACAAACTGAAAATACTGTTGACACTGTTGAAGTTTGAGTAATGAGATAAACAAAACTTATAGACTTTGACATACTGCCGAATAAAGATTTAATTACATATTGTATTATGTTTACTGTAGTTACATCCCACTGACCGTTTAATACAGTTTGAAAACAATAAAAAATTATGTTTGGGACTGTGGAAAAGGTGACCGCGTCCGCTTAATAGAGGTGACCGTTCAATAAAGGTCACTTAAATAGTATTTATATTATGAAATTTTTGGGACTTTGTCACATGACCGCTTAACAAAGGGTGACCGCTTAATGTAGTGCCGCTTAATACAGGTTCGACTGTATTACTGTACTGGTATTTGTAAGGCTGTGCTTTCAAAATGTTCTTGTCAAAGCTATCGAAATTGACGAAACAACACGAAAAAACCTGGTGTGATTTACAGTTTACACCGGAGGCTTATTTCGCTTCCCTTTTTGTTTGAGGATGTGTTCCCGACAAACGTCTATAATTTTATCCAGAACCAAGCTATTGCAATAAGCTCGTCGATTGGATATATGGTTCCATGTTTATTGACAACAACCGCCTTCATCAGTGGCCTAAATGGTAGTTTAGTTTGTAGTAGTTCAAGTCATAAAATGCCAATAAACTTATACTCTGTTGTGGTAGGACCTCCGACCACAGGGAAGTCACAGGCAATGAAAGAATGCGCAATAGATCCCCTAGTCGCCATCCGAGAGAGTAACAACTTAGGGAATTTTTCGGTTGAACAATGTACCATGTTGGCATTGGTTCTGGAGAAGTTCAGATGTTGTGTGAATTATTTTCGGGCGAGCGGACATCCTACAGATTTGCCACTGAAACAACGAAGCAGTAGTTGCTCGATAGAGGTTTCCCTGTTGGCAGAGATTCTTCCCTTGCTACGGCGAACGGGAGGCATCGCGAAATATGCAGATTTTATTTTCCCTTTCTTTATTTTGCTTCTTTCCGAGTTCGTAGTGCTTGGTCTCGACGTTAGCATAGAGTGATAGATTTGCGCATGCCAAAGGTCTATTATTCTAACCCCTAGTAATGCCTGTGATTGTTTGGATTTGTTCGAGGCAATAGCGCGGCGATCTGATTGGTTTTTTGTCACAAACTTTTCATTCTCTTTCACATGCACAATAAATTATGCTCTTACAACCTTTGATCTCCTGGCTGCAGTGTGAGTGAACTTTGAACCCACATGCTGTGTACCCTATTACTTTATTGCCGTTTTATGTACAGAACAATTCCTCAAAGCATTGCCTCATTAACTGGAATTTACATGCGTATGTAAATTATGCTGTATTTAACTGTATTGTAAACATACTGTTTCCAACCATTGATATTTCATCAGGTAATATCAACTTTAATGCACCCAGCTCACATCATAAAGTGTTCGATCTGCCAGAGTCGAGTGGTTTATAATTCTTAAGCGATTGGCTTGCTGAAATTGATAAGGCACTATGGATTGTGTTTCCTTTAATTAGATGAGCTGCCTTTCCTGTTGGAGCAAACAATAATACTTGAACATGACAAAAGGCTTCACCGGCCCGTTTGTTATAGTGCTTTAAAGCAGCTTGATAAATTGACCTCCACTTCCACTTAAAAATGCATAAAGTGGATTGTCAGATATCTTCATTAAATGTAAAACATGATAAAAAAACTCCCTTTGTTTCTTGTTTAGCATTTGGACCAAACTTTGGTATTCATCATCTTGCATTTCATTTAAAATGAGTGGTTCATTACTAGGTAACCTTCATGGGATACCCAAGTCTTCAGAGACATCATATGCTTAATTTAAATCTGGATGTGTATCTGTGTTCCTTTCATTCTCATCTTTACTTTCAGTGTCTTGTGTAACTGGTGCTACTGTGTCATAGGCATCTTCATCACTTCTTGTAAGTGATGCTTAATTTCATTCAAGTCTTCACTGCAAACTGCATATTGTTGCATTTGTCCATTTATCTCATCATGACAAGCTTCATAATGTTCTTCATAGGAAGAGTAGATTCCCATTAAATCAGCTTGTTCATTTCTCCATGGAGTGAAAAGCATGATCAACTCATGATAGTGTTTTTCTGATCGAGATTGCTTGTTAAACGAAACACTGCGGATAATTCTTGCTTGTGATCTTTTTTGATTGAGTTTTAGAAGAAAAACAACTTTTAGTGTTCTCAACACCTAAATCATCATCATCCACGGGAAAGTTG